TAGTCCTTTTGGTTACCGACAGTTTCGGACTACATGCAAACAATGGCCTGATCACCTACAGCCGGGAGCACCTGTTGTCTCTTCAACCTCACGCAAGAATTGGTGACCTGTTTCTAAATCTACCCGATGACTGCTCCGGACTGGCAAAGAATCAAAAGCTATTAAAGAACCCCCAGACAACAGCAGGACTTAAAACTAAAATTAAGAAACGAGGATCAAGAGGAGGCATCAAAGCAAGACTCCGAAGACGCGGCGGCCGACCTCCCCTGCCAGTGATTACATTGTCTAATGTACGGTCACTAAATAACAAATTTGAGGAACTAACGGCAAAAGTCAAGTACGACAGCAACTTCAGACACAGCAATCTGATATGCCTGACAGAGACATGGTTGAAACGCGCATGTTGCTTTGAGGGGATACACCACGATAAGAGCTGACAGGGATGAATTTACGTCATATAAATTAATTGGAGGTGGACTATGTATCTTTGTAGATGACAGATGGGCCACGCAATTCCACATACACGAGCAAATATGCACCCCCGATTATGAACTTATATCTGTGTCTTTCAGGCCTTTTTATTTACCTAGGGAATTTGGACAAATTACTGTCATTTTAACATATGAGCCCGGACCAGACAATGAGAAGGCAGCGGCAAGAATAACAGAGAGCTACAACACCGCGCTCACCCGCTCCTCAGACCAGCCCGTGTTTGTCCTCGGAGATGTCAACATTTGTGGCCTTTCCAGTCACCTACCTAACCTGCAACAGTATGTGGATTGTCCTACTAGATCTACCCGTGTGTTGGATAAGTGCTACGGAAACGTGTCTGATGCTTACAAGGCTGTAAGCCGACCACCGCTGGGTAAGTCAGACCACAATGTGGTGCACCTGCTTCCCAAATATCGAGCTATGGTGAAGCAAGAGAAACCCATGAGTAAGGACATTAAACTGTGGACTGAGCAGAGAGAGCAAAGAGGAGCTGAGAGACTGTTTTGATGACACAGATTGGCAACTGTTTTTTGACTGTAGAGGAAATGTACATGAATTGACTGAAACCATAACTTCATATATAATATTTTGCGAAAACAATTGTGTCCAGAAAAAAACGGTTAGAATATTCCCAAACAATAGACCATGGTTATCTAAAGATATTAAAATTTGTCTTAATGAGAAAAACATGCTTTTATTAACGGTGATACTGATGCGGTCAAAGAAAAAAGGAGAGAACTCAGATCCAAGATAAAGAAAGCAAAATTGGAATATAAAGACAGGGTAGAGAGCCAGTTTTGTCTGGGTAATGCTAAACAGGCATGGGAAGGCCTTAACTTATGATGGGCAGAGAGTGTAAGAAACCGAAGAACACTCAAACAAACAATCCTTCCTTTGTGAATGATTTAAATGTTTTTATAGCAGATATGATGTAGGAGATTTTAATACAGAATGTGAGATGGTTTGCAGCAAAATTCCAACATATGCCCAATAGTTCTAACAGAGCATGAAATAGCAGTTAGCCTTGCAAACACAAAGCCAAATAAGGCCCCTGGACCTGATGGCCTGACTGGACGAGTACTTAAAGACTGTGCACCTCAGCTGACAGGTGTCATCACCAAATTGTTTCAGCTTCTGCTGGACAAGTGCACAGTACCTAGCTCCTGGAAGATGTCCAACATAGTGCCTGTACCTAAGAAACCAAGGGCAAACCTTTTAAATGATTTTAGACCAATAGTACTTACTTCTGTTTTATGCAAATAAAATTTGCATATAAAAGGTCAAGAGGAACTGATGATGCAACAGTAACCTTAATTGACAAAGTGACCAAACACTTGCAACAGACAACAAACTATGCTAGAGTGTTATTTATCGACTTCAGTTCTGCTTTTAACTCAATCAGAACACATATCCTTTTAAAAAGGCTCTTGGATTTAGATGTGAATGGGGGTCTAATTCTGTGGATCAAAGATTTTCTGTCTGAGCGTCCACAGAGAGTGTGCTTAAATGGTAATGTGTCAGAACTGACCGTTTTAAATGCAGGAGCACCTCAAGGCACCATCTTGTCGCCTCTATTATTCTCTGTGTATACAAATGAGTTTAGACTCAAGACTCAGATTTTAGCTTATTCAAATATGCTGATGATATGGCACTTGTTGGCCTCCTACGTGCAGGGGACACTAAAGGAGAGAATATGTATTTTAATCATGTAGCTTCGCTCCAGAATTGGTGTCTATCGAGTGCTTTACAGATAAACATTAGTAAAACTAAAGAAATGGTTATATCCAGTAAAAAAATATTTCTGACTCCTGCCTCACAATCATGGGAGAAATTGTTGAAAAGGTAAACTGCTTTAAATATTTAGGAACTTACATCGATAGTCACCTCAAATTCATAGATAACACAGACTATGTCTTTAAAACAGCTCTGCAGAGGCTACACCTACTTAGGAAGCTGAATGAGTTTGGGGTGAGTAAAAAGATTCTTGAAATGGTGAACAAGAATCTGGTAGAAAGTATTTTGTCTTTTAACATGGTCGCATGGTACGGGCATTTAGATGTTAAATGTAAAAACAAACTGACAAGAGTGGTCAATACCGCTAGTAAAATCATAGGGAAACCACAGATGCCTCTTTGTGACAGGCACGTACTGAACACTAAAAAGAAAGCCCAAGACATAACAAGTGACCCTTCTCATCCACTGCACTCCCAGTTCAAAGTGCTTCCATCAGGTCGGCGATTCAGACTGCCAAGAGCCACAAAAAATGTTTATAAAAAATCATTTGTACCAAATGCAATAAAATTATTAAATTAATAAAGGAGAAAATGACCCCCCCCCCCCAACTCTAACTGCACATTGTTTTATGAAATTACTGTTTTTAAACCTATAACTTTATGAAATGTATTAAAACTCTGGCTTATTACTATACTAAATTATTATTTTAAATTCAAGAACCATGCTGACTGTGATGTTGTCGAGGACTACAGGTGCTCTCCTGGTTTCCTGCTGTGCTTGAATGTTGTGTTGTTTGTCATCTGTCTTATTCTTGTGAAGCCGAAGACAATTTTCCACTTTGTGGACAAATAAAGTTCTATTCTATTCTATTCTAAAAAACTGCCTTTGCCGTTTGCCCTGCGTCGACTCGTCTGCCTGACAACAGAGTGACAGATGACTCGTGACCATGTTTCCACTGCTCGTCGACTTTGTTCTCTGCACCATTACGCTCACTAAAGTGCACTTTTGGTTTTAATGAGGGGTTTGCACACCGCAGACCCGGCACACTCACAGTATCCCTCCCTGTGAAGATGTCAAGAGGACTCCTCTCCCTTTAAGGGAAAGTTCCTCCTCATTTCTCAGATCTCTGTTTCATGAGCTGGAAATTATACGACTCCATCCGTCATCCTGAGTACGGTTGAGTTTTCCACATTTGTCCCGATGGTGTGGTTTCATCTCCGACCAACGTTTTGAGTCGAGAAGCTGCTCGGTCATATGTCAAACTTTTTTATGTCCACCCTCATAAAAACCTCACTTTTGAGATTGAACCTCATGATCCGACACTCATGATTTTTCTGGTGACTTTTTGGATCCTGAGGGCAAAATCTGTGAGTGTGATGCGATCTCTCCTGTTAGACATGGATGACAAGAGTTTGGGCAAAAACCCACAGATTTTATGTTCTTTCTTTTATTAGTCTCCTCATCAACAAAACGTCAAGACAGCACAAGAGAAACATCATGGCCTGCAGATGAATACATCAAACACAAAGGAGGACTGATGAATGTTTCTTTGGATTGTTTCGGACTCTGAGTCAAATTAAATTATCAAATTAAAGATGAAAGATCTTTATGTGCGACTTTTACCAGCAAGCGTCAATTTCTCTCCACCCTTTAAGCAATATATTAATATTAAAGCGCATTTGATCGACCACAGGTTATACCCCAGAGGGAACTTTTAAACGTTTTTTTTAAACTGCGTCACCAATTTTCCACTTTTTCCCCTGCAATAATCACTTTGGCCACTAGAGGTCACAGCCTCATCTTAAACATGGCATTAGTGTTTAAGTCAAGACCACACTAACCGAGCTCTGAGACAACACCTTAGGGATCGAGACCGAGTCAAACTCAAGACAAAAAAGGAGTAGTAGTTTTGTTTACTTGAATTGGGAACTACAGAGACCATCATCTTTTGCGCTCGGCTCGCTGCCTCGGTTCAGAGGAAATAGCGGCCACCGGTAATTTACCATAAATTCCACTCGCTTCCATCAAAAAACAAAGGTCATCCGTGATTATTTATGTGGAATATTTAGTGAAATAGTGTTGTTAGCTTTCTGCTAAAGTGGTGGCTGCCATCTTGTTTTTGTCTCTCGACCAATCAGAGGCTGTGTCTGCGATCAGCTGACATGTAAGGGCCACTGAGAAGCCAGGGCAGCCTGAGACTGATCCTGCTCCCAGCACAGAAATGCAAAGATAGAACTGATTCATCCTTTTCAGCTCATTCTAGTATCAGTAGATCTGTGCTCTGACACAAAGTGCAGATTCTCCTTTGAGTTGAAGAAAAACGTTTACACACTTTTTGCTGACCTTTCAGAGGGAAACAGATGGTCACCACTTTAATGTATCTTTAACTGTTTCTTGTGCACTACATAAAACCTCAGTGTTAATACATCTTTCTCTACATACTGCCTCAGAGGAACAAAAATGATCTTCTTTGTGTTTTTGGTTGAAAAGAAAACAAAGAAAACTTCAAAATAAAATGAGTACTCTGATTCTTGCGGCTGTGTGATTCCTACATCGAGGCTTTTCTTCTTCAGCCTTATTACATAAAAGATCTAAATATATTTTCCAACACTGAAGGGGGAAAAAAAGTCAAAAGTAGAGGAGGCATGGTCTCTTTGAGGAAGCCCCGCCCCCCCCTGCGTATCAGCCCCGCCCACCTCATCACTGAAGCGGGGCCACCCAGCGGACACTTTGAAGTCTTGCCTCTATGATCAGTGAGCTGCTGGAGTCCGGACTGAACACACGCAACTGGGGACGTTTCCTCCTCTCGTACTGGGAATCTTTAAAGTACAACCTTGGTGTTTGATGGTTTTAAAGGAGAGGACACTGTGTTCACTCTGCGCTGCTTCTCTCTCCGGACGTCTGCTTTGAGGTTTTTGTTTTTTTAAACTGGAATAATTTTGAGCCGTTTTTGGAGAGCGCGATGCCTCAAACGGACTGAGAGGCTTCTCCGTCCTCTCGGGACATTTCAGGACGTCCAGCTGTGTTTGTCTTTTCCTTTTTGAGGAGGGGATGAGTCACGTCTGCATGGATTACTTTTTAAACATCACCTGTGCCTGAACACCTCGGACTGACAGTATAACGCACGCAGTCTCCAGAGCGCAGCGCCCTCCCACCAATGAAATATCTCCCCGCTGCGGATCGACAAAGTACGCGGATCGAGCTCAGTGAGACCAGCCACGGTGCCAAGTCTCGACCCGGCGCTGTGGTCCACTTGCTGACCCCACTGGACCCACTTCGGCAGGCAAAGCGGCTTCCCATCCGAGTCCTCAAGATGTTGACTGCGCACACCGGACACTTGCTGCACCCGGAATATTTACAGCCTTTGACGTCCGCCCCAGTCAGCATCGAGGTATTTATTGACTTTTTGAGAATATACTGCACTTTATTAATTTGCAGTGCGGTGTTCCTGGTGTCACAGCAGGACGCGGAACATGTCAATATAAATCTGAATTTATTGCAATGTCATTGGCTGTGACAGCGAACATAAATCTTAAAGAGTTCCGGAGCAGGAGACCAATATTTTAATTTACTTCGACTTAAGAAGGGTTTACAGGGCACATGCAATCCTCGCTGTTCTCCCATGATGCAAATATAGTCTTCAGTGGATTAGTTTTGATAGTCATGACAACTTCATTAAATTAAATCTTGAGCGTAAATAAACTAAAAAACGCAGAAAAAACAAAGTATTTGGACACTCTGTTTGTTGTTTTACTTCTGTTAAATGTTAAAAAGTGAGTATATTTGTCACATATGTCCGTTAATTATCTCCTAACTCACTTATTAATCATTTGCTGTATAAAATGTAAAAAATTAAAAATAAAATACCCCTCCTAGTTTAGGGGATGTTGTCAAATGTTGCATAATTCCACCAAAACAAAACAAAACAAAAAATCTGTTTTTCGTCATTAATAACAAATGAAAGCAGCAGATAAAGCTACCAAATAAAGATTTTTGTTTATTAAAAAAATGGCAGGACCAGCCTATATTTTTTTATAGATTAAATCAAACTAGCGTCAAGAAAGGCAATTTGAAGACACTCCCTTAGATTATGGAGTCTCCACGAATCGCTGTGTCCTATTTTTCGTTGTTTACAAGCACAAAGTGATTAACTGAGAATAATAATCACCACTTAAACTAAAAATTATTGGCAGCTGTAGTTTAAATAAAGTTACTATCAGGAGTTTTCAGGCTACCAGATGATAGCATGTCCATTGCAGGGGGTGGGGTCTTATTCTGACTTATTCTGTCTCCGGGCAGAATACATTAAAAAGAAAAATGACAACGCTGATCAGAATCTGTGTTTTTCTTGTAGCTGGATGCCAAGAAGAGTCCCCTGGCCCTGCTGGCTCAGACCTGCTCTCAGATCGGCAAACCAGACCCTCCGTCCTCCTCTAAGCACGGCTCCTCCTCCTGCAGCCCGGGGGACAAGGAGTCCGGCAGTCGCTCATCCAGCCTGAAGCACGGCGAGCGCCGCCCCTCTGTGGATGATAAATGTAGCTTCAAGCCTTACAACAAAGGCAGCGGAGACTGTCGCAGAGACGGAGTGAGCAGCAGCAGCACCACCAACAACAACAGCGATAAAGTCGGGTTCAGGGTGCCGAGCAATAATGTTAATAACTCTAGCACTAATGGGAGTTTGACCACGGGACAGCAGCAGTCCTACCCGTCGCACGCTGCCTCACCAAACTCCAGAGCGGGCAGCACCACCCCACCTGGACACGCTCAGCCCCAAAAACAGAGCCAGTCTCCGGTCTCCCACTCCCAGACTACAAGCGGCGACTCTGCACACGAGCAGGGCAGTCCAACCAGCACGAGCGGCAATAATAATAATCATCAGAAAAAAGATGCGGATGTAAGCAAGAGGATCTCGGACAGTCCACACGATGCGAACTCCAGCCACGCTCGAGCCAGCACCAACTGTAGCAACAGCAGCTCCGACGGAGGCTCAAACCACGAGGGGGTTAAAGCGGACTCCTCCCATCCTAACCTGGGTCCCGGTCGCATTACACCCATTTCTCCTTACAAAACAACCCAGCCTCTTTTCCCCCTGCCCGCCTCCAATTTGGGATACCACGGATCTGTAGTCGGGGCGTACGCAGGCTACCCGTCTCAGTTCGTTCACGGTATGGATCCGACAAAGCCAAACCTCGGCATGGGAAGCCTTGGCGTCCCGGGAAAGCACCCGAGCTCCAGCCCTCTCACGGGGGCCTCCCCTCCCTCCTTCATGCAGGGTTTGTGCAGGGATCCCTACTGCCTAAGCTACCCGAGCGTGTCCCACCTCGGCGGAAGCAACTGCAACTCCTGCATCCACGACCCTTCCTCCTCCCTCAAATCAAACTTCCCCCTGGTGTACCCCTCCCACCCTCTCCACTCCCTCCACCAAAGCTCCAGCGTCTCCTCCTCCCTCTCGCACCCTCTCTACACGTACGGCTTCATGCTCCCGAATGACCCCCTTCCCCATGCCTGTAACTGGGTCTCGGCTGCAGGGCCGTGCGACAAACGTTTTGCCACGTCGGACGAGCTCCTGGCTCACCTCCGCACGCACACGGCCCTGCCCGTGGGAATGGACAGTAAGCTGCTCTCTGTTTCCTCTTCTGGACCCGCCTCCTGCCACCTCCACCTCCCTCACCAGAGCAGTCCCGGCTCAATGCCCGGCTCCCTCTCCCTCAGGTCTCCCCACAGCCTGGGATTAGCTCGCTATCACCCTTACAGTAAGGTTCACCTGCCCCCTGGACCCTCCTCCATCTCCCTGCACTCTCTGCCCACCACAGGCCCGTACTACCCTCATTACGCCCTCTACAGTCAAAGACTTGGATCTGCATCTGCCTTGGGATACCAATGATTCACCATCTGCTTACTAGTTTTAAGAATTGGTTTGACATTTTGGAAAAATAAGCTTATTTCCTGTTCTCTGGAGAGTCAGACGAGAAGATTGATACCACACACTCATATCTTTCTTCCAAATACGAAATTACAGCCAGCATCTGGTTAGCGTAGCTTAGCACAAACACTGGAAACAGGGGAAACGGTTAGCTTGGATGAAAAAAACGGCATCATCTGTGAAAATAATAAGCCTTCAAGGGATCATTTTAAAGTTTTTTTACTTGGCAAACACGACTGCGGTAGGCTATTGTTCCTAGCCAAAAAAATATCTATACAATTATCTGATAAGAACATTACATTTTTAAGCTCTACGTTCGGCCATCTTGGTTTTTTTTTTTTTATCAAGAAGTCCCCATATTTGAAAAGAAGGTGAATGCACACCTCTATGTCTCTATCCTGTTACACAGATTGATTATGTAGCACCATGTCAATCATACTGTAGGTAGCCATGACCGATAGCTTACCCTGCTTTCTTGTGGGTAACTAAATGAGACCGTAAACATCATGTTATGTCATAGAGGACATTTGAAACAAGAGATAGAGACTTTCAACAAATCAAGTGGGAAGCAGGCTCACTTTCTCCTGTGCTTCAGTACAATCCTACTTCTCTGGGCTAACACTAGTATTGCCCTCTGCTGGCCTGGAGGTTTTAGGTACTTCTCAACTCAACACAACTTTATTTATACAGCATTTTACACACAACACCGTCGATCTAAATTACTTTCCAGCACAGATAACGAGGAAGATAGACAGCAGTAAATCAAATACATATAAAGACATTACTGTTATGATTTTTAACCGCAACAGTAACAGCAATAACTACTTTACAATTGCAGCTATCATAGCAACAATATCAAAATCACTTTTATCACTGGCTTCATTTTTAACCCAAGGGGCTAACACAACTATTTAGATATAGTACGACGTTTTTAAGAATAAAAAATCTGAAAGGAAAACTCAAAAACAGAGCTTCCAGATGCTTTTTGGTACTCTAGATGTTGGCACTTTTTTTGTTTTATTTCCCCTTTTTTTTAACTTTCTTTGTTGCTATTACATATTAACAATATTTCCATTTAGTAATATCCGTTCAGAATGTGTATTTTATTCCCAACAAGAACAAGATAAACACATACATACAAACAAACAATTAGACTAGATGTTGGCACCTGTGTTTCCATTCTTTGTGCTAAGCTAAGCTAAACTAACCAGGGTATAATTCTTTATTTGACTTCCCACAGAAAGGGAATAAGCTTTTCTTAAATGTCTTAACCTTTCCTTTACGTTTGAACTTAGTTGCGGCGCGTTGCTTTCTTCCACTTGATTTAAGGCTGGATTCAAGAGGAACATGGATCAAAGTGCAAGTCCTGGATTTTGACTTGAGTGCATCTTCACCCTTTCTTTACACACAATAAATGAGATTTTGGTGTTTCTAATCAGGCTCCACTCCTAAAGATCAGAGGACTCTCCTTGTGGCACATTGTTGGGATACTTTTTGCAGCGGACATGACGGCCCCCTCGGGAGACTCGTGCCGCCCTGTGGGCTCGGCAAATTGACGGTTGGACGCTGCGTAAGAGCACTTGAATGTTCAGGGTTCTCGCTGCAAATGATGATGATTTAGTGCAGGAAAAATGTAGAGTGGCGGGGGATTGCGAGGAGCTGCAGCCGTGGACCGATGTAATCCCGGCCTGCAGGAGATGCATGTAAGCTTGACACACCTGTTTACTCAGCACCCATGGTTTGTGATGATTTGTTTCAGTTTCCTTCTGTTTTTGTTTATTCCTACTGAGAAGTTGTATTTATTTTCATGGGAAATCTGACTTTCTTTCATGTTCACCACATAAATGGAGAGAGTCGAGCTGGGTGACAGATGCTGAATACGTCGTGTCTTAACACTTCTCTGAGAATGAATGTTCAATCACATCTCTCTCTCTACGGACGCCTGCTGGGCTTTTTTGATTTCTACAAATTAATTCAAATGAGATGTGATATTTTATATGTGAAACTGGAACACCTTGTGGTGGTATCCAGTTTGAGGGGGGGTGGGCATATTTTGCTAAATAAATCTCATTGAGGATGTATTTTCTGTTGTCTTCATTTCTTTGGGTCTGATTTGATATAAAAGCTGAGTTTAGGCTTTCATGTTCTTACTGCTTAAGGAACACTCAATTTAATCATTAGTTTTGGTTTCTTAAGCGCACATGTTCAACTTTTGCACTTTATTTGCATGTTTCTCAATTAAACTAATGTTTAGAGGGGACTTCCTTGTTGGAAATAATTCAAACACATCTGATGGTCGTCTTGAATCTTAAATATTTCTTGACTTTAAAGGAAGAATGATCAACATGATCCACATAAATATCTCAGAAATCCAGTCTGTCCTGTGTAAATGTGTCTCTGAGTCCTGACTGTCTACAATGAGGGAGAAGCTCGAGTCCCGCTGGCTGTGTTGTTATCAGAGCCGTGTTTACATGGACGGGACGGCCGGCTCCTCCCCTTGTGTATAAAAGCTGTTTTAGTCAAGAACTACTCACTGATTATTTGGATGTTAGTAAGAGTTTTTAGATCACGCTCATTCTGTGTCAGTTTACATGAAATGTGAAGCTACGAGCTAACTAAAGAGCGCTAACATTAGCATGCTAACACAACAATGTGAAGCTACGAGCTAACTAAAGAGCGCTAACATTAGCATGCTAACACAACAATGCACGACACAGGTGACTGCAGCTCGAGCAGAGGACAATTTTGTGTCTCTGGAGGAGAGCAGAGGCTTCAGGATGGAGGAGGCGTGGCCGGAGCTCATGGGAGACATCTACTGGATCAAAAACGTCGCACATTCTTCTGCTAAAAATTGGTACAATCAATACGTCAATTTTGTACAGTAGTTATCTGTCGTTCTTGAGTAGTTTTGTAAATTTAAAGAAAACAAAAGAATCTATCGGTTTGAAAGTTTGCCACTCTTAAAATAAGTAGATCTGCCTCTTTTAAAACAAACAACCGTTTACAAGACGAGGAACGACTTCCATGTGAGACTCTCTAAAGATGTGCAGAGTTATCCTCACATTTATGCAATTATCTAAATCATCCATATCTACATGTTGGAATGCTTCTCTCTCCACTTTTGAGAGTGGCTGTTGGGTCAAATCATAAAAGCTTTTGTTTGTGAGAAATAACCGACCCACACGGCGTAAACAGGTAGTCGACAAATTCCAGAAAGTAGCTTAAATGCTCTGCAACTTCTACAAAACTCTTGGTTGCTCTTTTTGGCGGCCTTTTGTGGCCTCGTTTGGGTCCACTTGTCCAGTTTGAGGGTCACCGTTCACTGCAAATCAACGCAAAGTTTTTATCCCATAATGACTTTCTTTAAGTCTCCAGGGTGACACTGCCCACCTCCAGAGGGCACAAAAACCACTGAATGGATCGATAAGTATGAAAATTATGTAACAAATACAATATGGCCGCCACCATCTTCAGATCTCAGCCGCATGAACTCTTGGGACATTTTTGACCGATGCATTCGAGGTTGCAACCATCAAAAAAACAAAATTGGGATATAATTTTGGAAGAAAGTTGCTCCAGCGCTTCAGGGAGAGTGGTGAAGTGAAGACGTAAACTTTTGCCACTAACCTGTCAGCCTGTCTTTGGCGCTTAAGAGTATTTTAAACATCGGCTATTTTTACAGTGAAAGAAGAAGATGACGGATGAGTTTTGGTGTGCTTTACTTCCGCGTGTTGACAGCCGCTCATAAGCAGAACCACAGGGATGCAGCTGCTCGCATTCCTTCTGTCCTGCAGTAAACACAGTGTCACCTTAAAGCCGCAGCCCGGGCAGTGAGTGTGTTTTCTTTCTCGTAAAAGGAAGAGCCAATCCTATCAGGGTGTAATGCATACATACTGTAGGATAGCAGTCGATAGCAGCCGCACGTCCTCAAGATGAAGACCTGACAGACGCTCAAGTTACCGCCGTCCACAGCAGCGTGATTGGCAGCGGTAATATGCCATTTCCTAGCAACATGACACTGTGACACCCTCGGCGAAGTATAGATGACCCACACTGGTCAATCACAACTCTGACAAGGGAGCCACAGGAGGTCAAAGCTGCCCGTCCCCCCGGCTCTGAAACAGGAGAGAGCGCTCCTGTTTCAAAAGGTCTGAGACGCTCTGATGGTGGTGTCTGAGTTCAGCAGGAGGGCATGAGATCCTGCAGGCCCACTCTGGATTCTGGTTTCACGTTTCCCAATGCAGCCCAGAAAACTGACACACTTAGTTTATTAAGCATAACAAATGAGCTGGCTGCCGGTACATGCAGTGTAAGAGTTGTCACCGGTCCATGCCAGAGTGTTGGGGTTATAGTCTCTGTGGGTTTGTGTTTATTTTCTTTGGGTGGATTTTCTTTGCTTTTTTGAAGAGTTTGGGTGCAGCTGTGTTTTGTGGACTAAATGCACAGTGACAGGTACAGTGTTGGATTGGGATGCCACCTATTGGTGACCAACAAAACCAGTTTGGAATCACAATTAATAATAATAAAAATAAATTGTATTTTAAAGGCGCCTTTCAAAACTCTCAAGATCACTTTACAGAGAAGAGATAAAAACAACAAAATAACAACACAACAATAAAATTAACATTAAAAACACAGATGGGGAATGATCAGACTGAATATGCCAGTTTAAAAAAGATGTGTTTTGAGATGAGATTTGAAAATGGAGAGAGAGTCGATATTGGGGATTTGTGGTGGGAGGACAATTTAGAGGAATCCTGATCTGGTGATGTCTCGTTGTTTCTTTTCATGCAGAACATTTATCTGCCCAGGAACATGAATGACAGACATGGATTTTACATAGAAAATGTTATAAAGTACAAATGTGTTTTCTCTTGTTCTGGATGAATACAACAACTTGCTGATCTCTTATAGCGCCATCGTTTGACTTAGAACCTATAAAACCAACAATGTTCCCATTAGCCTTGGCTGCGCTTTGTGATGCCATTCAAACATCCAACATAAGATGATCATCTCTAAACATACTGAACATTAAAGGCTTTATATGTGATTTTTTTGATCCAGCAGATGTCGCCCTTGAGCACCAGCATGAAACCAAAACAACTTGCGCTGCATTGTTGTGTTAGCATGCTAATGCTAGTGATCTTTATTATGCTGGTATCTTCACACTGCATGTAAATTTACCTGAAATGAGCGTGATCTAGAAACACAGTTAAGCAGTGAGTACAGTATGTTATTCTTCTTTTCTCTAGTCCCTCAATTAAACTACTTTTATACACGAGGGGAGGAGTCAGCCGGCCGTCCCGACGATGTAAACAAAGTGAAGATAGGACTCTGAAAACTCTGAAAACATCACAGACAGTGGGACTCGGGTGTTACACCCATTGTAGACAGTCATGACTCACAGAGTTATTTTCAGAGGATATACTTGATTTATATTATATTTAAGTGTGAAAAATCACAGATAAAGCCTTTAAAACTGTCCCTGTTAGCGTTTAGCTTTAAAGTAGAAACACAGCCTATAGAAGAGCCGATAGCATGACTTTCAACTTCCTGTCTCATTTGAAGGTGAAACAAAAAGCCTCTCTCCTGACAGCAATCATTTTCACACCCCTCCCTCAGTCATTACTCAGCAGCGCAGCCAATATTTACGATTTCCTCCTTTTCAGGCCTCAGTTATTCTCTTAATTTGTTCCCGGTGTTCCAACAATAAAACCATTATTTATATAAAAGCTTTCGCTGACTCATCAGTCACGCTGTTTTCCCTTCAGTGAGATTAGTTTCACACCTCAGAGAGGCCCACAGCACGGCCTCTTATAAAGAAACCAAGGGGCCAAAATCTCCTGCTCAAAGGCGACTTAAGGGAGGGGGGCGGAGGTTACTCAGTCACTATTCACTCCCACTTTCCCCCCCGCCAGTCATCCTTCACAGAAAGCAACTCTGCTTCCCTAATCTCTCAGTAACTGCGGCTTTATTTTATCTCGTGTTGGAGACGTATTTTGCAGCGATATCTAAAAAGTCTTTGGGGGGCGGAGGGGGGGGTATTGTTCTTGGAGATGAGGGCTCGTCTCCCCCGGTTGGTCTGAGTGCGTCCTGGGTGCAGCTTGACAGCCTCAGTGATTAATGATGACAGACTGTGGTAGCTGCTCTTTCATCACATGACAAGCCTTTAACCTCTCTATCAAGCTCAATCAGAGCTAAAAAAAAAGGGAGAAAGAAAGAAAGAAAGAAAGAAGCAGAAATCTCTTTCTCTTCCCCCTCAGAGACAGTGGAAATCGTCTTCTGCATTAAATCATTAAGCAAAAAGTTGCAAATGAAAGACATCTGCGCGCATACTTCCTCTGTGAAATTTGAAGATAGAAGACTTGCTTCCCAGAAATAGACTCCTCTGCTTTCATTTTGCCTTCTCTCCAACTTTATCACTTCATCCATCATCCGACTATGTGGGCTTTTCAAGTGGTCCAAAAATAAAAAGAACACAGATGTCAGCCATGCCTATACTGATGTTTTCTAAACCGCCATAAAACCCATAACTTACATCCACCCACAGACGGGGGGAAAAAAATGATGGAAGTAGACTTTTCTTGCTTCCAAGAAGAAAAACACTCCAAATGGAGAGAATATGTGGAAAACACAGCAGAGCTTACAAGTTAAATTAACCAAATCCAACGTTAAGTGAGTCTGCACTTGAGCAGGTAATTTTTGAGGTCTGAAAACAGAACATTTCCACCTCTCTTTCCTCGTCTCGTTCGCCCCTTGTCTGTTCGAGAAAATGTAAAAAAAAAAAAAAAAGAAAGAAACTTGGACAGGGGGAGTACAAGAGGGCAAACGCAATTATGGTTTCCTCGCTAATGTTCATGGCCCCAGCTGGTTTTGATCTGGCTGTTCTCCGATTGGCTCCCAGCTCAGTTGTCAGATCTCATGCATCACAGACCCGGTGCTTCACGGGAAAAACGTGCTTTGGCAGCGACCAGCCAGCAGGCCTGGAGGCCAGCGGGTTGATGGTGGGGTTTAGCGGCATGCAGGGGGGGGGGGGGGGGGTTGCAGCAGGGTGACACCATCCTCCCCGCCTTTCCCCC